AATGAGAAATATATCTCTAATGAAATTCGAGGAAATAAGTTTAAATGGACTGAAAAAAAAAAGTGTATAATTTAATATTTCGTACAAGTAAGTCATGGACTGTACACAGATTTTTTTCTAAAAATTTTCTGGTTTCTTAATTAATTCAAAGAACACTGTTTCTTAGCATAAACTTGTTTAACAGCTACATCAATACGTTAATTACGCATATTGCAAATATGTTATAATAAAAACAGTCAAGAACTTTAAAACAGACTATTATTTTTACTTCCTTGTATGAAGTAAAGGAAGTATTGTAATGCGAAAATTTTCGGGTATCATATTTCAATGAAAATGGCCATTTTGACGCTATCGAATGCAATTTAACGTTGTTTTTGCGTGACAGCTGTACGTAAGGTCGGAATAAAGGACTCTTTTTCCCAAAGCGGGTTGCAAAAAGAATTTAAAATGGATTCAGAAAAGATTTTTTCGTGACGTTTGCACGTACGTACGTATGTATGTATGTGTGTATCTCTAAGTCAAAAACGAATAGACTCAGAACGTTGAAATTTTGTATATAAGACTGCTATATCAACTGTTTTTAATTGCTTTAGTGTTTTATATTTTTCTGTATTTTTCAATTTTTAATAAAGATATGAGGATTTATGTATTATTTTACATTGCAGCGAAGTGAGAACTGAATTAATTGAATGAGAAATATATCTCTAAAGAAATTTGTCGAAATACATTTAATTGAATTGGAACACAAAATGTGTATAATTGAATATTCCGTATAAGAAAGTCATGTGGTGTACACATCAGATTTTTTAATCATAATTAAAATACTAAATAAAAAGACATTTTGGGACACTTCAGTATTTTTTCATGATATCTTTCTGCTTTATTTGCCTATCTTCCGTTATCAAATCATGCCTTTTTTCTAATACGAGTAAAATATTTATTTAGAATCTTGAGGTTTTAATTTTTGAATTTTCTAATTCAGAAATTCCTGAAGAAAGGAAAATAAAAAGAGCAACCCCCCCCCAAATTCAGAAACTGTGGCCATTATGTTCACAAATATTTATTTTCAAACAGCATTATTTTCCCAATTGTGCCAATAACAAAGCAGCAAGCACAGAATATCCAAATGTACTAGAAAGGCAATTTAAAACAGTTGAACAAAACTGCTTGTCAAAAAGGGATCAGGCTATAACTCACAAAGAATTAAGAGTTTGTAGAATTATAGTAGGTCTCTTAAGCTTGCACATTCTCCTACTGACTCAGCCCACATACTTCTGCGTCTTACCAAGGAAAAATTTGTGTTTATTTTAAACCATCAGCTAATGCCTGATCTACTGAAGAATACTGTCGGTCTGGTCGAATCCATACAAAATTTATACTGAACAGGATTTTCCTTTTCTTTAACTTTAAAATTTTTTTATTAAAGTTTTGAAGTTATTAAGTGAACTAAAATATTAGTAGGTCAGTTTATGCATTTAATGTATTTTTTTCTTTTTATGTTTTGTAATATAGTTAACTTTTAAAATTTTAATTGTTAAAAATTATATCTTTTATAGATGCTTTCATTCTCTTACTACTGCTTTATGCTGTTACAAAGGAGCATCTTTAAAAGGCTTCCAGGGGGTTGGAAAAACAGAAACATTAAAAGACCTTTCACGACTACTTGGAAACTATGCTTTGGTCATTAATTGTTCTCAGAATTTAGACCATATTTCTCTTATACGCATGATATCTGGCATTGCTCAAGTAAGTTATTTTTGTAATTAGGCGTTTGAAACAAGTTGTGTATGTAATATAGTGCATAACTTTATTAGAAAAGGTACTTGTTATGAAAGTTAATTGAAAAGAAGAAATGTTATACATTATTTCCTTAATTTTATTTAAGAATTCAGTGATATATAAGAAATTAGTAAATTTTTGGGGCTTACTCAAAACTAATAACTAGTGCTATTGTTACAAATTGCTCAGCCGCGGTAGGATAGCTTGCCCACAAAGCAGGTTTAGGATAGACAGATTTGGCGTGGAATCGCCCATTTGGCGACAAAATTGGCGATATGCCATAGACGGATGGAGAACATTCTGGAATGAATTCTTACCGGTTGGCCCAAGGCAGGCCAAAAGCTAGATATATATTAGATTTATATATAGCACTATTCTAACATAGGTATTTTATACAAAATCGGACTTTTTCTGAAATAACATACCAATTTTTTTACATATTTCGATTCTACGACTCAAATTATGCCAGACTGTTAAGTTTTGTAAAAATCGTAAGAGTAATTTTTAAAAAATTAGCTCTCAAAATTTTAGCTCCTCAATGTTAATTGAATTTGGCATATTTTTATTAATATCTCTTTTTTATTAAACTTATTGATTCTTCCTTTCACATTTCGAAATTCAGGTTCATTCCAAATAAGATTCACCCATTTTTGTATTTTCAAATAATTTTTATAAAGTTTTCAAAAAAAATTTTGAATTATAATCTATAAAATTATTACCATCATCTGCTGGTGTACAAGTCCAAGTGTTTTCTCTTTGAACACCCAAATTCCTTGAAGTATTCTGAAAGTAAATTCAAAAGCATCCAACTTTTCGAAGCACCTTGGTATTTCTGACAGCCAAATTCTCCTTCAAATTTTTGCTTACTTTTCTCCCTAATTTTCTTCTTTCCTTCTACATTTATTTTCAGTGCTCACCACAAGAAAATTAAGATTTTCCGATTGTTACACTTCCATAAATTTTGCATTCTTGTCATTTTTTTAAAAATAGCAATTACATCAACTGCGTTTCAGTTGAAGACAGCTTTTCATTTTCTAGGCATTTTAACTATAAATAAAGTTTAAAGCAAACTCCAAAGGATAAATATTTTAATTAAAGAGATTTTTTGTTAAATGATAAAGAAATAAAACAGTCCAGCATTGTTTATTCTGTACCACTGAGTGACCCGATTATTATTTCGGCTACAAACAATCTAAATCATATTAAAGATTATGTTTTTTATACATTCTATAAAACGAGAGAAAATTAGCTACCTTAAAACATTCTTTCGAAGAGGATTAATGTAAAAATTTATATACTTATATATATAATTTTTAATACTGGGACATGACCCCAAATATCAACGTCCTGTTTGCTTAAAAACATTGAGAAAATAAACATCAATCTTTCTCAGTTTTAGACAATTCAATTTAAATGTAGTCAAAGTAAAGTAGCAGACGATAACACGGCGAAGGTAAAAATTTACAAATATAATAAATAAATAAATAAAAGTAAGTAAAAAAAATTAAAAATTTGAATAATATCATCTATAATTTAAAGAAAATAGCTTTTCATATAGTATTAATAAATATTTATTAGGCATCATTGAGGGAAAAAATTTCATATAATTAATTCTCCCTATAAAACTTATTTGAAATTTAAGGTTAAAAATAGTTGTGGTAATTCATTGTAGCAAAAATCCATGAACCACATTTGGCGTTATTATCGCTCAAAAAAAAAGATGCCAAATTTAAAAACGCGAAAATATGTAAACGTGTATATCTTAGAAACTTTTGAATAAAAAAGTCTAATTTTTTGCAGGCATGCTTAGAACTACACCTACGTTAAGATCATGCTAAAAATTTTATAGGTTATAATTCAAAATTTGTTTCGAAAAAATTATAAAAAATTATTTAAAAATAGAAATTTAAAAAATAAAACGCAAAAAATGGGCGAATTTTATTTGGAATGAAGCTAAATTTCGAAATGTGAAAGGAAGAATAAAAATAGTTTAATAAAAAAAAGAGATATTAATAAATATATGCTAAATTCAATTAACACTGAGGAGCTAAAATTTTGAGAGCTAATTTTTTAAAAACTACTCGTACGATTTTTACAAAACTTGGCAGTCTGTCATAATTTGAGTCGTAGAATCGAAATATGTAAAAACATTGGTATGTTATTTCAGAAAAAGTCCGATTTTGTGTCAAAATACCTATTTAAGAATAGTGCTATATATAAATCTAATATATTTCCTAAGTCACGCTTTCGAGACATGAAAAACGCAATTTGAATTTTGTCAATCGGCCCAGTAGAAATAGAGATATAGAATTCGCCCTCCCCCCCTTTTTTTTTTCGCAGTGTACATTAATTGTGTATAGAGAATTGCCACTGTATCGTCAATCGAAATATTTTCGTTCTCAACAACGTGTGTGTCGCTTTCTTCACGATCGTTAGCGGTATTTTTTTGGATTTAGCGATCGGATGGATTAAGCAGTCTGGATGGATATTACGGATTTCGCATTCTGTTAATTGATTGATAATTGAAGGATTTTCGTCGCAACGGAGAACTTCTGTTACATCATTTTCATTTATTACCACATTTCTTCATAAAGTCCATTAGTTAGAAAATTTATCTTTTTGTTTGCGATATATGAAAACCTTTAAATTCGCGGCTGGTAATCAGAAAGTGTTCGCTATACATTATCGGCGATGTATCATGAGACTGGTGGCTAAAGACATGCTGTCCGTTAAATTTTGTTTATCTTCTATTGCACGCTGATGAAGTTTAAACCTGAATTATATAATATTAGTTATTTGTTATATTTATACCCATTTCCCACACGTGCTTAAGGCAGAGCTTAAATCGCGCCGGAGCCCACCAAACCTTTCCATTTTTGAGGTACTTCTCCATGTTTGAGATTAATTGTAATTCTAGCCTGAGCGCTCATGAACCCTAAATAAGAGGGCTTTAACCAGTTAACCAAATGGTAAAGGTGTGGTGCCCCTCTTCCCCGTTCCTAAACCTAAATAATGGGGGCTCCGACATTTTTTTATGTAACTGAACTATAATTCCAACAAAAAATAGTTTTGATTTCCAGTTTTATTTTGTAATAAAGTAACCTTAAAAATGGAATCTTTCCTCATCATTATGCTTTACCTGATAGCTAAAATTATAACTAATTACAGCTGTATGAAATTTGAATGATAAATTAAAGATAATATGCTTCAGTGAAGAGCCATACTATGAGACCTGAACTAGGCAAATTTCGTGGAAGTCAGATTACAGGTTTTACGTTTGTGTAGTGCCAATACTTTTGTGTAGTGAGCATGGGTGGTAAATTTTGTGGATCGTGGATTCTCCCCTTAAAATAACACGTTATACTATATATTTAAAGCTCAAGGCGCAACGTTAGGAGTAAAGTTATTCAGTAAATGGAAAGTCAGCGATGTTTCGATATAGAATGTTTCGTTGTAAGAAGTATGGAAAGCAGAAAGGCGGCTGCGGGGTCAAATTATCGATCGGGGGTACTGCTTTACGTTAATACATGATTAATATGGAGGTATTTGATTTAGTGCCAAAGTGAAATTAAGAATCAGGACTTTCCGTATGTTTTATTATTAAACAATATCAAATGCGCATGCGTAAAGCATACAAAAAAATTCTCTGAGAAAAAAATCTGTTGCTGTTGGTCCTGAGCTCCTAATTTTAGATCACTCCGGATATTGGAATCCAGATTTCGGACTTTGTGCTGCATTTCATGTAATGTAATGTAAGGTTTATCCTAAGTTTTTAAAAATTATCATTTTAGTTAAAGCTACTTTCCTGATGCTTCTATAATTTCAGCTTACAAATTTCCTTCCAGAGGGTGTTTTTAGAATCGCGGTTAAATGCAAATGAAGGAAGAGCAGTACTTAAGTCGAAGTTCAACTGGCTTCGTTAGACAGCCTGACTAACGCCCATTCGGCTTTTGGCTACTTTCTCTCTAAGCTATTACTTACGCTCGGCCGTATTTCAGGCCCTTGATAGCTTCGCCGTTTAGTTAGCATTTAAGGGTTTAGTTAGCATAACTCTTTCGGCAATATCTTTTTAGCTAAGCATTAGTTAAGTTTGATTGAGCACTTTGGACGGGTGTCAACCCGGTGGCATTTGGTTCGCGGAACTGCCAACCGGATGGTCCAGGCGTTGGGTTTGGGCGCCCTGTGCAAGCCTCCCATGTGGCCTCTCTGGCTTTACTCTGTATAAGGGCGGACGTGGCCCTATATGCTAATTAACTTAATAGTAAAGGGGTGGTGGCCACGTCCTCCGTCACTATCACTATCACTAGTACGAGTTCAAGCCCAAGTGGAGGCTGTTTTGTGCGTCCTGAGAAAGGGCCATCTGTAAAACTTTATTTTAAAAAATAAAGAGTAATTAACCCTTCTCAAGTTTACGTGTCTGTCTCGTGAACTAAAGCGATTATTCGTTTACCAGTTCTGAAGGTTCCATACACATAGCTGTAAATTTTAGGTTTGGAACCTTATAGTAATCACTGAAATTTTGCTTCAGTTACATAGTAGAAAAACTAATTTTATAACAACTTTAAATTTTTTTGTTTTTATTCGCAGGAAAAAAATTTCATTTAGATGTAACAGAAGTTAAAATAATTCATGTTTTCATAGATAGGAGCATGGGGCTGTTTCGAAGAATTCAGTTGCATCAAAATTGAAATTCTTTCTGTATTATCACAAGAAATAAACAGCATTTTAAATGCTTTATCGTCTAAAAGATATTTTTTCCCTTTTTGGGGCATGGACACTCCTGTTCAGGAAAACTGTGGATTATTTTTGACTATAAATCCAGGTATCGTAATAAATCTCTTTCCTAATATATTTACTTTACAGCTAGCTCATTGAAGTTGTATATAAAATGTGTAGGATCATTGTAAAAGAATGCTGGGATTAACAAAAGTATTCCTTAAAAACTATTAAATATTCTGAAGTTATTTAAATGTTAAAATGACAATAGTAAAAATATATTTTATGCTAAATACTGTAATATACGGTGTTAGAAACATCATTTATTAATTACGTAAATTTGCAAATGTGCATAAAAATTATCAATTGGTTATATTATAAATTAAATATATTTTAATTTCTATTAATTGTATTAATAAAATAAAAAGTTAAATTTTTAAGTGTGTTTATTGTTTTTAAATTATCGCGTTATTAACTAATTACAGCTGTATGAAATTTGAATGATAAATTAAAGATAATATGCTTCAGTGAAGAGCCATACTATGAGACCTGAACTAGGCAAATTTCGTGGAAGTCAGATTACAGGTTTTACGTTTGTGTAGTGCCAATACTTTTGTGTAGTGAGCATGGGTGGTAAATACCTAGTAAATATCTAATAGTACCAAAATGTTTTGAAAACGTGATTAAAATGTACTTCTTTAAGACTGTTTCACTATTGAAAATGTAACAGTGATAATGTGATAACCTAAACCAAGATCATACAGAATTTCTGTCTCTTTTTTTTTTCCTTCCAGAAATATCACTAAGCAGCAAAATATCAAGTTTAGTTGTAATACCATCATAATACAAGTACATTGGGATATCTGAAAGGGATAGGTCAAATGATTATTTTGAGTATTTATTAGATCATCAAGGACACATTCCAGAAGAATTCAGGTCCAGAGTAATTCCAGTCCAAAATAACTTTAAAATACCCAGAGTGAGCTGCGCATTTTAAAGTTGCGACACATGACAAGCTTGATCTAATGCCATCAAAATTTGTATGTGTGTTTCCGAATGGATTACAGCAACAGAAAATTCTGAATTTATTTTTGGTGTACCAGATTTTATTTTTGGTCATCCAGGTGGATTCAGGGATTTCTATGACATTTTCAGATGTCAGGTGGCTAATAATTTAATAAATGATATGCATAAGCTTCAAATCATATCCGGAGAAACAAAGGTACTTCGAAGAATCATCGGTCAGACTGCATACCATAAAACAAATATAATCACTTCATATTTAAAGCATCCTTAAAATAATGTTTGAAATTATACTTCATGAAAGAAGAAATTCAAAACTCAAAGCTTCAAAAGGCTGTAGCGATATTAGGTTATTTCGAAGCAGGAGAGATGAAAAATCAGCAATGCCTTTTCCGGGACTCGAACCACGGACTTCTCGAATACGCGTTGAGCGTGTTGACCACTACACCACGAAGGCATCCTAAGAAGGCGGGATAAATACCTTATAAGACTTTGAAGAACTTAGTAAAGTAGCAACAAACTTAATACTATGTAAGGTGCATAATGTGGAGGGCTGTTACTTTACATCTCTGAAGCTAAATTATTATGATTCGTACTTTCATGTCGGTTTGCATCACCGGTGACTTTTCTCCATATCCATGTTGTCTATTATTTATATGGGCAAAATTAAAGAGAAAAATGCTAACCACCTTTGTAGTTGCACTTACTGGAAGAATTAGCTAGTCAGAATCTAAAAAGCGGTACAAATTAAACAACTTGCAAAGTAAGCGCATGTTACTGGGCTAACAGTTGCACATGCAGTGTCTGAATAAGCGATAGTACCGCTCCCTAGGTAAAGCGAAGCATGAATTCGAGCTCCGTCTCAACGAGAAACACGAATATGGGCGCTGCGTAGACGTGTTCAGCAACTAGTTTCAGAATGAATTCTCATAAATTCAAAATTTGGTACAACTTATCTTATATTTAAATTTAGCTATTAAAAATAACTATTCAAAACGACTAGGAAAAGTACTTGCTGATATTTGTTGAAATGCTTGCTCCATCATGATTTGGAGTGTGGAGGTTTTTGCACTATTTAAGTAGTGCAAAAAACTTAGGAGTTAGGAGTTTTTTGCATCATATTATTCACTATGTGGAGTTTTTTTGCACTACTTAATGAAGTGTTATTACTTAATGATTTATTAATTCAAAGTGAAATTATATATCCTTTTTCACTGGATTTCTTGCAACAAATGTTTCTTACAACTAAAGTTAGAATAATTTTTGTGTTGGCAAGTTACAAAATTCATGCATTGAAAACATAAAACCTTCATTTAGATGTTTAAAAAACTACATGCCAAGATATTATCCTACGCACATTGGAAATTGATATTTTTGCCACATTTTTATATTCGAATCATTCATTATGATTAAGTAATTTTGAAATAATGTGTTTTATAATCCTCCCTTTTTTTTATTTCTGTGGTTACACATCATATATTTTAGTGTCGAAAATTTTAATCAGTAAAATTTATTGCAAATTTCCTAAATACTTTTACATCATTAACATTTTCCTGATAAATACTGTAGGTTTTCACAAGCATAGCCATAATTATATATGCACATATCTAGACATGAATAATGTCTTTCGTATACTGCAACTACATTATTAAACTTAATTAGATTTTTGTTAAATTTATTTAGATTATTAATATATGAAATGGGCATAATTTTTTGATTGATTACTACAGCTGTGTGTTTTAGTAGTAAAACATCTTCTTAGTATTCTAAAATTGCATTATAATTCACATTAGGAAACATAATTTCAATGCATTGCAGTTATTTTGATGTAATTTACTTAAGTTGTATCAACAATGCTTTATTGTGAGAGGGAAGGAGAGTTAAGTTAGAAGTAATTACGGGCTGTCAATTTTTTCAAGTCCTGCAAGTTTAATGTTCAATAAATGTTAGCTATAATTAGCAATTCTATGCTCTGTTTACCTTAAAAAGTATGTTCTTAAGGAGAAAAGTAATTTCTTTTGTATGAATAAAGCCACTTTTCGATGTACACAAGATAGGAAGTATAATGCAAAATGCATTTAAAAGCTTACTTCAGATATAGGACAGTTTTTTTAATATTTACACAAGTGAGTTGATGAATAGTAATTAATATAAACAAATTGCAGTATATTTTACGGATTACTTCTAAATTTTTACCTTTTCATGAAGACCCTTTTTAGATAAATTTAGGCTCAGAATCTCAGAAGCAATCTGTGAAATCTATTGCAACAATAGATGAATATTCCAACCAAATTAGAAAATCGGTTTACATAATGTATTTAGAAAGACTGTGATCATACTGAAAGTTTGAAATGAAAGTAGTGTTGCAGCAGAACTTTAGAAATGCAATTATTATATGCAGTTTACAGTGCATTTTTAGCTTATATGCATGTCCAGTTTTCTGATTGTTTAAAACTGAATCAAGAACTTTATAAACATAGTTTATTTTTTGAATTAATTACTATTTTCTATATTATGAAATTATTATTGTATTATAACAGTTCTATTACTTTTGCAAACGTTAAAAATAGATAAATATATAAATAAACTAATAAAAATTCTGAAAAGAAACAGCTTGCATGCTACTACTTTTTCCCACCTATGCTGTGTGTTGCCAAAACAATTGCTAATCTAGAATATTATACCGTAGTAACCTGATACCAGATTCTTTTCTTACAGGAGAAGCATTTTAATATTACTAAGGCATTTAAATATAGATCTACTAGTATTTATGATTGGATTTATTATGTTATTTATTTTGTGAAATAATATAGCTTAAGTATAGCAATTCCATCTATGTTCAAGAATATTTTATTTCAATATATAAACTAATAATGTACTATTTTAGAATTTAAAACGTAATAATATTTTTATATTCATCTGAGTTATAATATAAAAAAAATAATTTGAGAAGTACTTAATTATGTTTATCATTTATTTTTATGTCATTTCTTGATGAAAAGGTTTGTTTAAAAATCATTTTATTCAAATTTACCACCATTCACTTTTACTAACTGTTAAGAGTAATTTTCTTTATTGTTGTACAATATAGTTTCCTATTATCATGGATACAACCTGCCTCCTTTGTTATCTGATTTGTTTAGACCCGTGTCTATGATTTCACCTGATATTGAAGCAATAATTCAAATTAACCTTTTTGCTCTTGGGTTTAAAGAACCTAAAGTGAGTAGTCCTTTCTCCCTTCTCTTTTACTTGCATGCTTTAATCTTTAATACAGTTATACAGTAAAGCCTTAAATTGTGTAATATTTCATAAGACTAATGATGGAAGTTAAAATAAATATTTCCACAGGCATAGTCTTCTAAAAATATAGATGAGCTTTATACCAGATGATTAATTTTTCTTCCTTCCCAAATAAAGGCAGTATTCATTTGTCATTAACAAAAATTTTAGTTTAAATAAAATTAAAATTTATGTCTCTTTCATGTGATGTAGAATTTATCAATTTCCCGAAATTTGGTACTAATCCCGAATTTTGACTAAATTTATAAAATTAGAAGTGATAGAGCTCTATGAAAGTCGTCAGGAATGAGAGAAAAAAATAGACTAGTAAAATAATTGAAATTAAAATTCGATAAAATGTAAAGAGATAGACTTGAAATTTAATAAATTATTAAATCACCAATAAGTAATAAAATAAAATATCGGAGCTCGTCATATTTGGGGCTCCAGCTGGAATGGCAATTTCATTCAAAACTAAGAAACAGCTCAGCGGATTCTGGCTAAAGCCCTGAGTATAATGTACTGTGTATTTCAAGGGATGATAGAAACAAAGGCTATTCTTTTTTCAGCACACCATGAAAAAGAGTTAAATGGTTAAAGCGTCACTATTGAGAATAGAGAAAATGCTAGAAATAGCATGAGAGTATGGAAGGAAATTTTAACAGAGATGTGTAAACATGAAAATAAGAAGAGAAGAGTCCAGCACTTTTTCATCACGATACACAAATAAATATAATATGCATCATAATTATGATAAGAGAATCTGTGGAGAATGGAAGAGATCATATGTTAAAATTTGGACTAACACAGACTGCTTCAATGAGTTTCAATATTTAGTGTAATAATAAAATCTGAAATAGAGTCCTTACATAGATTAGGCGAGCTTTCTCAATTTCTTAGTTGAAATTTCAAATCTTGAACCTGAAATTAAGAATTAGTTATTTCAAAGGAATTTTCTTCCTCCTAATCCGTTTGAGAAATTTCTCTTGAGCATGATTTAATTGCACAACTCTTTTTTATTTATAGTTTTGGGATTGACAATGTAATTGGAAGCAGAGGAGTCACAAATTGATACATTATTTATTATTATTGGATTAATAATTTTTTTACTATTAAGTTTTTAGTTCTTTTTTTCATAATGATTTTTGTTTATCATTATTAACACTACTGAACTGTATCAGCTTTACAATTAAACCTATAATTTAATCAGCTGATACATGTTAAAAATTAAAAAAACAACATTTATATGTGTTCAGTTAATTTAATGTTATGGCGCTTTTTCATCATTCAAACTGCAACTCCATTTCTTTCCTATATTTTTATTTTATTTTTCTATACATTAAATATATATTTATATATTTTTATTTCTTATACTTAAGAAACATAAAACAAATACAATTCCTATATTTAGGAAAAATAAGGAAATTGCTGTTCAGGTAACAGATATTTTATTAGAAATCTTGCTGCCATTATAAAATATCAAATATTATTAAGAAGCATAATAGCTTATGTTTCCCCTTTGATAAAATAATATATTATTACAATTTGAATACTGTAAGAGAGATGTCATGTTTAGCAATGATTCATCAGTTCTTGATGCCAGAATTTTTTTCTTTGTGATGAAAACCTTTTCTGAAGTTTTTAACCTTGATGAAAACTCTTATGATGGTCATATTCTGTAAAACATCATTTCAGGAAAATGACCAGCATTTCTTACTACGTAGATATGAACATCATCTTTGTAAGGCAGTCTCCTCCTAAATTATTCAAACCACATTATTACGTATTTCCACCGTCATTCTGACTAGAGGGCGCTGCGTTCGTCCTAATAGTCAGTGGCAGGCAGGATACTAAAGGTGTAGGACATGGAAGGCAGAGATGCCTAATAATATATCTCTAATTGATTGAAATTTTCGTATATTTTCTTGTAAATAAATGTTGTTATTGTTAACAAAACCTCTTATTATCTCTTGGATGCACCTTTAGTCTCACAGAACCATTAGATGCAAAATTGGTGCATCTTGTCCGCGAATGTGGAATATCCGGAAGTAATTAGTCATCATTACTGGATTATACTTCAGAGAAGTTTGGATACTTTACGCACGCTTTTGGATACGTAACATTGCATACTGGACTGTGGAGGTAAGATCTTTTGAACTCACAAATTCTGAGTTAATATGGATAAGCTTTCGAAAATAATTGAAAAAAGAAGTAACGTTCGCGCTAGTGTTACTAAACTAGTTAAAAGAGTGCAGAAGCTCGATGAAGCTGTCGAAGACGTAAGTTCATTATCAGAACTACTGGAACTATTAGAAACGAAGGAGCAGATCTTGAAAAGCCATGATTTAGAGGTGGAAGCACTCATAGATGATCCGGAAAAATTTAAAGGTGAATTAAAAGCTTCGGAGGAATACGATGACAAAATATTGTTAGCTAAGATTAAACTAAAAAGCAAAATTAAAGAATTAGCAGCAGAAAATGTTCAGCGGACTTCTTCAGTTCTTAACCCCTTAACTGCCGCGGGCGTTCGCCTTCTCAACACTGCCCCAGATTCTGCGCAGTGCGTTAACTTTGCGGCGCAAAGCAAATGATAGCAGTTTGGAAGGACGTTATACGCCTTTAACGCATCGGCTAAATACGCCCGCGGCAGTTAAGGGGTTAACACATCTAGTGTTTCGGAAAACACTGTTACGGCTTTAAAATTACCAAAGTTAGAAATTTCGCGATTCTATGGTGATTCTGGCAAATTTATGGAATTCTTAAACTGTTTTGATAGCGCAATCGGTTCAAACAATTCACTTACGAAAATTGAAAAATTCCAATATTTAAAATCTCTTCTTTCTGGTCCTGCATATAACGTTGTTGCGGGTTTTGAATTAAATGAGAAAAACTATGACTCATGTCTTGAGCTTTTAAAACAAAGATATGGTAGAACTGATTCTATTATAAATTCTTACATGACTAAATTATTAAGCTTAGAACCCGTGAGAAGTTCGTCTAATGTTAAGGGTTTGCGTAAATTATACGATGAAATAGAAGTTAATATAAGAAATTTGCGTTCATTAAATGTAACGGAGGGTTCATATGGGCATTTATTGAATCCAATATTATTGAAGTTGCTACCACAAGATTTGGTGTTAGATTTTCACCGAAAACGAAACAGGGAAGTGAATTGTGAGGTTTCGGAAATTATTACGTTTTTGAGGAATGAAGTCGAATCTAGGGAAATTGCCGAAACTGTGATGAGCCCCCTAAAAAGTTACGAAACAAAACGATCCTTTTTCCCAAAATTATCAAAGTGGTCAAACTTATCAGAAAAACTATTCAAAGCCTAAAAATATATATCAACCGCTTCAGCGTTAAATACACAAATAAAAAATGCTTTGTTTATTCTGTGACGGTCATCACGATTCCGTAAGTTGTAAAAAATTGGATGTAGAACAAAAAATAAATAAGCTTAGGACTGAAGCTAGATGCTGGTGTTGTTTTCCAGAAATATCACATGTCTCGCGTATGCAGGGCAAAAAATATCGTGTAAAAATTGTTTAAAAGCAATTTTCATCATGAGTCAGTGTGTAGAAAAATAAACCCGTTAATGTTAAGACGAGAGGTTGTGAGAAGCAAGTGGAAAGCGAAACTGTTTTGAATGACTCACAATCTAAATCTAATAAAAGCGCCGAGAATATTTCTGTGTCTCATAGTAATATATGTACCAAAAATAAGCCCTTTTTACAAACATGTACAGTTTTAGCCTGTTCGGATAAAAATTCAGTCTTAACTAATGTTATTTTAGACAATGGTAGTCATCGAAGTTTTATTTCATCTCGATTAGTTAAAGAATTAAAATTAAAGCCAATACGCTACGAAAGAATAGCTATTTTTGCTTTCGGAGACAAAATAGCACGTGAGAAGGAATACGGTATCGTTTCATTGACGTTGCGCAATAGGGATCAAAGTTCGAAATCGTACGAGTTAGAAGCTGTCATAACGGAATATATATCTAATTTGTCCTTGAAAATTCCTGATGTATCTATTCGCAATGCGTTGAAGGAAAGAGGTTTACCTTTGGCTGATTCATTTTCTGGCGACTGTCAGACGGAAATACTTATCGGATGCGATTCATTTTGGGATGTTGTTTATGACGAGAGAGTAAAGTTAAATGAAAACATTACTGCGATAAATTCTTGTTTCGGTTGGTTACTAGCGGGAGTGGAAGGAAGTAATAAATTGACTAATAATTATGAAAATGTATGTTTAGTCATGGACTCTTCTTCCATTTTGTGCGATTTGAAAAAATTTTGGGAAATAGAAGAATTTCAGTCAGACAAACAAAACTTTTCTGAATGGGACAATCAATTGATTGAAAAATTTGAAAATTCTCTGGAATTTAATGGGGAAAGGTACGTTTGTAGATTGATGTGGAAGGAAAACTTGGGACCTGCAGTTGGGTTGAATTCTAATTATGAGGTTGCGAAAAAGCGTTTTGATTCGTTAAAGCACAAACTAAATAAAAATCAAGAAATTTATGACCAGTATAACAAAATTATATCGGATCAGTTAGAATGTCAGATTGTGGGAAAATGTGTTAATGAAGATAAAAATTCAGGATATTATATGCCCCACAGAGCGGTAATTAGGGATGACAAGGAAACAACTCGAGTTAGAATTGTTTATGACTGTAGCAGTAAGGCTAATGAAAATAATAATCTCTTAATGAGTCTCTAGAATCAGGAGTAAATCTTTATGCAAATTTATTGGACATAATTCTTAAATTTCGAGAATATCAAGTTGCATTTTGCGGAGATTTAGAGAAAGCTTTTCTTATGATAGAGATTGCGGAGGAAGATAGAAAATACCTTAAATTTTTGTGGTTTCCCGAAGAGGTAGGTGATTCAACCGAAACTCTCCATTTAAATCGTCTCCCATTCGGTTTAACTACTTCGCCATTTTCCTTGGCTTGCGTTTTGAAATTTCACATTAAAGAAATTTAAGGAACATCATCCAAAATGTTATGACATGTTAAATTCTTTTCTTTATGTTGATGATCTCTGCTATGGAGCCAATACCGTTCAAGATGCTTATTATTTGACGTCTACGGCAATAGAGATATTAAAAGCAGCGGGATTTCATTTGAGGAAATTAAAAACTAATTGTCCGGAATTGTATAAACTTTGGAATGAAAACCGGATATGAGGAAAATACTGACTTCGGGCAAGGAACAGGTTTCTTGGGATTGAAGTGGGATCCGATTGAGGATAAAATTAAATTAGATTTAAGAGATGTTAGGGATTCCATTGATGCTAGAATCACCAAGCGTCATGTTTTGAGAGTTATTTCAAAGATATTTGATCCATGTGGACTGATTAGTCCCTTTGTAATCACTGTGAAAATTCTTCTGCAAGAGATGTGGGAACGTGGTCTACAAGTCTACAATGGGATGAAGATTTGCCAAGTGACCAACAAAATAAATGGAGAACCTGGTGTTCTGAACTTTGTGAACTTGAATCAGTATCTATTGAAAGAAGGTTTTTTGAAAGTGTAGAAATAAGTGAAGTTTCTCTTCATGTGTTTTGTGAAGCCAGTCCCAAAGCATATGGGGCTGTTGCGTTCCTAAGGTACGTGAATTACAATGGCCAAATCAAAGTGAGCTTTATAATGTCAAAAGTAAAGTTGCTCCTTTAAAAACTTTTGACCTCTTGACAAAATTAGAGACTGCAAGCTCTTGCAGATTAGAGTTAATGGCAGCTCTCCTCGCTGCACGTTTAGGAAATTATTTACAAGGTCTATTTCCTAATTTCGCGAAACAAATTTTCTTTTGGAGCGACTCTCAAATCGTCCTTCATTGGTTGAAAGGATCTTCTAAACAATGGAAACCATTTGTCGCCAACAGAGTAGCTCAAGTGCAGTCGCTGACTCTACCAGAGTGTTGGAACCATTGCAGTGGCTCCGACAATCCCGCAGACCTTACTACTAGAGGAGAATCGGCTAGGAGGATTCTTACAAGTTCTCTGTGGTGGTCAGGCCCTGTTTGGTTGTCTAAACCACTTTACTCGTGGCCTCTTCAAGAATCGCTACAACATTTTAATGACATCTGTGATGAACGCGTTATAGTGAAAGAGCGACGGACTGCACTGGTTAATTCCATGGTAACCAGTTCAGCTAATGGAAACTTACCTATGTCGTCGTTACTGGACGTTAATGACTTCAGCGAATTAAGTAGATTACTGCGTGTTACTGCTTGGATTAAAAGGTTTGTGCACAATTCTAAACCTAATTCTACAAAATTAAATGGACCTATATGTGCTCCAGAACTCGAGCAAGCTTTGCGTTTTTGGATCAAAGCTACTCAATTCAAACATTATAGTACAGAAGTTACCCAACTTCTTTCTAAAGGAACTATCGATAAGAGTTCACGCATATTTAATTTGAATCCTGAACTTGATGATAATAACTTACTTTGTTTAAAGGGACGTTTACAGTTTTCAAGTAACGATATGCGAGCCAAACATCCTTGGCTTCTTCCATCTAATGATAAATTTGTTGAACTACTTATCTGTGATTCTCATACTAAAATGTGCCATTTAGGTGTTGATGCAACTTTAACACATTTACGAGAACAATTCTGGATTGTTAAAGGTCGTCAATTTGTGAAAAAAGTGTTAAATAACTGTCTGATTTGTAGACGATTCAAAGTGAAATCTGGAACGCAGGTGGTTGCCCCTTTACCGCCTGATAGAATTCAAGAGCATCATCCACCATTTGATATATGCGGTGTGGATTTTGCCGGACCATTTTTTGTTCGTGATTTTAATTCAAAGTGTTATTTACTTATATTCAGCTGTGCAGTGACAAGAGCTATCCACTTAGAAGTAGTTCTTAACATAAGTGCTGATTCTTTTTTGTTAGGATTCCGACGATTTGTTTCTCGTCGAGGATTATGTTCCACTATATATTCTGATAACGCCAAAGCTTTTAAAAAAGCAAATAGTGAATTGAAAAAATGGTGGAATCAGATAGATAATGATCAAGTTAAAAATTTGTTTGCTTCTAAAGGTATAGTTTGGAATTTTATAGTTGAAAAAAGTCCATGGTGGGGAGGTTTCTGGGAGAGACAGATACGGACGGTTAAAACCTGCTTAAAGAAAATTGTTGGACGATCCTCTCTCTCTTTGAAGGAATTGGAAACTGTTTTTTTTCGGAAATTGAAGCTCTGGTTAATTCCAGGCCTATCACGTATCTGTACAACGAACCCTCAGAACCCTCTCCACTCACCCCATCTCATTTTCTTATTGGTAAAAGATTGGTGTCTTTACCTGTAATAAAACATAAAAATGAAAATTTAAATGTTAATAGGAATTCTTTGGTAAAGAAATATAAATATCAGCAAACACTTTTGAATCACTTCTGGAACAGGTGGAGAAAGGAATATTTACTTAATCTAAGATCAGCTTATATTTCTCCACAACCAGGTAAAATAGTTTCATTTAAAGTGAATGATATTGTTTTGATTAATGATGAGCGTTATCCCAGAAATATGTGGATGATGGGAAAAATGGGAAAATTTTAGAGCTATATCCAGGAAGAGATGGAAAAGTTCGTTCTCTTCTTATTCAGACTCCTAAAGGACAAATAAGACGCTCAGTACAACTTGTGTATAATTTGGAAATTAATCCTTAATTGTGTTAGTTTAATTGAGTTGCAACCTGTTAATGTTCTATCTGTGTATTAATGATAGTTTAATTGTGCTTATATTTTAATGCTTGATATTTGAACAATTTTCTTTGGAAGTTAAAAGTGTAATTGGTTTTTGTATGTTAAGTCACTGAATAATTTTGAAGCTTTGTATTTGATATAATATGCTATTTATATTTTTATTCTTGTAATTTTAAATGGTTCCTGAATGTAAATTTAGTTGAAATTCAATGGTAAGTGAACTCAAGTGAGTTCAGGTGGGGAGTATTACGTATTTCCACCGTCATTCTGACTAGAGGGCGCTGCGTTCGTCCTAATAGTCAGTGGCAGGCAGGATACTAAAGGTGTAGGACATGGAAGGCAGAGATGCCTAATAATATATCTCTAATTGATTGAAATTTTCGTATATTTTCTTGTAAATAAATGTTTTTATTGTTAACAAAACCTCGTATTATCTCTTGGATGCGCCTTTAGTCTCACAGAACCATTAGATGCAAAACACATGAAGCTGTGCGTGGTCGTCTTAGGAGATGTCACTTTATTTCATGCAGAGGGAGAATATATATACTTAATTCTGTTTTTATATGAACCGCTTGTACACGAGTTTCATTTAGCATGAATTTAAATTAAATGCTTCCTTCCCCTTTTTATGTCGTACTGGTTTAACACAAGAGAGCCAAACCCATTTCTAAGAATTTTGGTGGAGCATGCTGGGAAATTTCAGTGTGAACTGAAGTTGTTTGCAGCCTCTTACAGAGAATTATATAACGGCGTAACCAAAACGTAAACACAACAGTTAATAACTGAATTCATTCATAAAACTGGTGAAATACCAGAACCAGAAGAGACTCGTGCTGATTTTGCTCGAGAGCTCTCAAAAAGAATTCCATTAAAAGGGAAGAAGATGATGTCATCATCATTTCTACTGATTAAAAGTGATATTCCAGTTGTATACAAACGTATGTGTCATTTACTGTAGAAAGTGAAAATAAATAAAATCTTGTTAAGCAAAACATTTTTCTTTGGCTCATGGAGGAATTTTTAAATTTCAAATACGAATGTACTTTAATACATTTTTATAACATATTACTGCGTGTGTATTTTGTTGAAATCATGTAATACGCTTGCGAGTAAAACAAATATTTTCAGATGGTATTTTAAAATTATTTATGCTAATATTTTAGATCTAGAGCCAATTTTCTTTTCTTCTGTAAAAAGTCTTTTTTTTTTTTTTTTTTTTTTTTTTTTCATGTATTTTTTAAGAAGTCCGGTAAAAGCATAATTAGCTGTATGTGATGGTTCTGGAAACGAATCATAAAAGTATTTTCATACCAAGTCCAAATATTGGGTTTTTTCCAATCCTTTTAAATTATTAATAACAGAATTGCTAAATTGATCACATTACTGAAATCAAATATAAAGAGAAATACTGTTTAAAATTAAGCCTCCTCCCGGAAAAAAAAACTCAAATCGCATAGATTATGAATAAAACGCTATCGATCTTTAGAGTAATCTTACACAGAATTCTTCAGGAAATTAGCGAATTTTAAACTAATTGAATCTTTAAATATAAGTTCATATTTATTCACTTTTTTGAAGGTTCAAAGGTATTAAACTGGTTATAGGAGCATGCAGTTTAAGCAGATTTATAGTTGAAGTACTGTATACAAACTTCTACTTCTTCTGAAGTACGTTTCACATTTGCATGTTTTCTGATCAGTGAGTCTAAGATACTGTTTTGAGAATTTCTTAATACAAATTTCTTCAAAAATTAATTTTTTTACCTCAAATATCACCTATTTTCACATTCAATATTTATGATTCTTATAGTTCTTTCCTTATATGTTATATTTTGATAGATACTTGCTGCTGATATTTATTTGATGTATAAAATGATAGCAGAACAATTGTCTAAGAAGGATTACTACAGCTTTGACCTTAGATCTGTTTGTAAGTTTCTGAAAGTTCTGCGAAACCAAAAAAGGAATTATGAAAATTTTCCAGATCATGAGGTACTATTATTTACTGATTTCTTTATAAGTTAATATTTTTCATTTCTTCAATTTTTTTTTTAAGTTAATGTAGTCACTGAAGGCTTTTTTACTCTGATGTTTTTTTTAAGTAATAATTTAATTAGCATTACTACTACATTAATTTCTCTCTCCAATAATTTTCAGTTTGATAAAAATGTTGAGGAAATGGCTCAAATTTTTTGTAATTGTAAATCTAACTAAGGAAGCATTCAATAGTAGTTGTTTCGACATTACAGTACTTAAATGCATTAATGTATTTGTTTTTATGAGTTTTTAAAAATACATACAATATAGTATATATATTTATTTTAATATTCAGTTCAGCATTTTCCAAGTCTTTTTCCATTTCCCTTTTTTTTGCATTCTTTCCTTTTTTTATGTAAGCGAGTGAAAAATAATGAACTTAAGCTATAATGCTTAAGCTAACAGAGCTGTAATGAAATTTTTCTTTAATCCTTTTACGAACATCTTATTGTTATTTTAAAGTTAAATTGTCTTTTTTAAGTGTTATGTTTGTTATATTTTCATGAAACATGGGAGAAAGTTGTTCTAAAACATTTTTTACAAATTAGGAAATCTGAAAGCCAAAGCGTCATAAAGCGTACCTGAATTTTCTTCAATGCTTATAAACCTCCATTATAAACAAAACTTATCTTAAAATAACCCAGTGAAGTGGAACTCTTTCAGTGAACTCTCCTGTTAAATATTTTGCATAATCGCCTGTAGTAACGGCAACCGCCGTCAATAAAAGGAGGTGCTTTCGTTGGTAGCGGTGCAGTTCATTTTCAGTTCGAGCCAGAGTAGACCTGCCCGGTGGAGAAGCCAGGGGATGATAGGTTCCGGTTCCCGTCCTGTTCCGGTTCCCGTCTTGTTCCGGTTCCAGTCTTGTTCCGGTTCCCGTCTTGTTCCGGTTCCAGTCCTGTTCCGGTCCTATTCCAGTTCCAGTGTGGCCGTTTAAGTCCAAAACACGTTGGAGCTGAAGTCTGAATCCAGCGAAACTAAAATGGAGATGTATGCCGAAAGGGCCAGATGGATTTTGTCCTTTTAAAGAAAGTGTTCTTCACCGTGACGGAATAGCTGACACTTTAAAGCATTTTGAATGTTTCCACCTAAGATGTTAAGTTTTCGTTTATGATGTTAAGTTTTTCATCATTTTTGAAGTTCCACTTGAATAAACCTTTAAGTTTTAGACAAGGTTTTGTGTTCTTCAGAAATTTTAGATTCGAAGTCAGATATATCACATAGGATTTAACGGGAAATATCAACACTCCTTTCCTCAATGCTTTTTGAAGAATGTTAACTTTTTGGAGATGGGACTATAATTCTTATCATTGACTTCTATATATTTTGCTTTACTTTTATTTTTAAACCCTCTTTCTTTTGTAGTTTATTCAAAATCTCATGGTTGCCTTATTTTGCTTATGATGTCAAACATTTCTTTTGCTAATCCTACTAAAGCAGATTTATATATATATAATATTACATAATCTGTGAATCAAATTTAGAGTGCATTTTTGAAGATAAATTTGTAAAGTTCTTGCGGTGGCTTGAAGATCACATTTGTGAACTTTTCCAGTATTTCTTGAAGCAATTATGACATTCCTTACAGTTTTTTTACAGAAAAATGAACTTGCAATAATTTCTGCTTATAAAATTATTTATTAATTTCTGCTTATAAAATTATTTAGATCAAAAGTCTGTGATTCTTTTTTTTACAATTGTATTTTCCTCTGTTTCGCTACTACTTCAATGCTTTCTACTAAAAAAGCTTTTTTGTCGCCAAGCCTTTTCTCTTTGATCGGCGGGGGGGAAATATGTAAGATAAAAAATATGTAGATCAAAATTATAATTTAAAGTAACGGTAACCCCTTCATTATTCCTCTCTATTGTAAAAATTGTAATATTCTGCTATCAGGATTGCGCCAGTTCTAGATCAATCCATCTTGCACAGCCTGCGCAACGAGGATTATTGGGTTATTCGGAACCTAAACTCAAAATTTTGAGAACCAAAACCTTTCTGGCCTAAACCAAAACCTTCCCCTTCGCGATCTTCCATATTGGATAAATGCGCACTTCTAGCTTGAACCTCTGTGCTGCTTGGACGCAATTTCGCTGTGCCGCTGAAAATAGGCACGATTTGGCAAATGAATTGTGGCTACAAATGTCAATTCAAATAAAAGGGAATTTAATACGCCTCGATTGTCAAGTTTCATATTTATTACAAATTCAACATTTTAATATTCTACGCAATTAGAATTTTTTATCTTCGATATGGATCAACGATCTATTCTATCTACGTGATGCGCAATCAGTATTTGTACGCTTCTGCATCTCAGTGTTCCTACATCTGTACCTCTCTAAATGTGTTTTCATTAAATATTTTTAAAAAGCCAAAATAATCATAATAAAGCAGTTATATAAATACTGTATTTGCTTGCTTTTTTCTCAACTTTTTTATGATATGTAAATCGAGAAAGGGAAAATCATGCAAATGATTTCATTTGCGAATGATATGACTTGAGTTGGAACATAGATGAGGATAAACTACCAGAAGCTATCACAATATTATTTATTTAAAAGAAACCTATGTTGCATCAAGTTATTCTATTTACAATAAAATTAATGTAAAATTCCTTACCTGCTGCATCTTCAGTGTTCGCGACGCCAGGCTTCTAATAATCACGTTTTCCAGTAAGAGTTTCTATTAGAATTAACAGGCCATCTTGTCTTTTACTTATTTATTCAAATAAAACTCTAATATACACTATTTACAAGGTAGGTGATAATTATTTTAAGACAGTACATTTTAATTGTTTTTCTGAGTCTGAAGTTTCGTCTTTACGCTCTTCAGAGCGGTTCCAATCTCGCCTCGTTCTTAGAACTCAATTAGAGAAAAAGTAAAGGAAGATGTGCCCGCCATCTAGTGGCAAGAATGGGACATCCTCCCACCTTTTGATTTTACCTCGATAAGATGGGAAAATCAAACCAAAATTTATCAATAATCAAACAAAAATTCAAGTACAACTTTCACAAATATGAAAAGTAACTAATGCTCTAAAATTAATACTTACAAAAGAAGTATTACACATCTAAACATTTTCTGCATTACATTCATACCATATCCAGATAACATGTTCCAATTGACTACTGTTTAAATTAAATTAAATTTCTATAATACTGAAAAGAAACAAAAATTAGTATAGCAATTTAAAAATATGTAACAGGTTTTACAGTTTTACACCATATCTAGTTTGATAGTTCATATCACTGTCACACTTATCGGCAGAGTTCTTTCTGTTCATGGTGAAGTCACTAAACAAGTTAGGTCTATCAAGTTCGAGAGGATAAATACGTTTCACAGGTCTTAGGAGTTCACCCGTTGCAGTTTTCACTTTGACAACACGTACTTCGTTGTCTTTCCCAGGATATACTTCTACAACACAACATTTCCTCGTAAGAGACACAGGATTTTCGAGAACATTTCTCAACATCTTCTTCACTGTTTGTACCAACCTCTCCCACCAACCGCCCCACCATGAAGCCCCCAGTTGGGGGAGTAAACTTGCACTGTATTCTCATACTAGTTGAATGGCATTCTATTTCTTTCCAATCTATCGATCTTAACAGATTTTCAGTTCCAACGAAATTAGTGCCATTGTCGTTGTAAATAATTCTTGGACGACCTTCTTCTGGCAATAAATCTTCTTAATCCCAAGATGAAGCCCATTTGTTGATAAACTTTCTATCAGCTCAAGATGTATCGCGCGATAGACTGCGCAAGTTAAAGAGCAAGATCCATGCCTTTTTTTTCCTTCCTTTTCTTAAATAAAGAGGACCGGCTACATTGAACTCCGGTCACTTCAAACACCAGAGCATCTCTAACTCGATATTCAAGAAGAGGTGCTGGAACAGTCTCTATACTTCTTTGCGCTATATCTTCTACAACCGAACACACTTCATTAGAACTTACTTCATGAGTAACGTTCATAAAGTTTTTTTTCCTCTCAGGATCTCAGGATCCATAATTTCTGTCGAATATTGGCTAGTACGAATTGCACACCAGCGTGGGATAGTCGCAAATGGTAATCTAAAATTAACCTATGAACTAAGTCATGATTTGAGGGCAATACAATTGGACAGAGAAAATTTTTCTTCTTCCTCTCTTCTAGTAATCTTGGGTCTTTAACCGAATAAGGCCATCTGAGTCAACAAAGGTACAAAGATTTCTTAACTTTAAGTTCTTTGCCAAATGCTTCTATCTGCACAATCTTGCATATTTTCTTTTCTACGGTTTCTATTTCAGGGACAGAAATTCTCCTGATTGTTTAGAATCTGTTCTTTTGTGGTTGATAAATCTGCATATCCAAGCTGTTATTCTTAACATTTTGTGGTAAGATGAATATTTCTCAAAAAAATATTCTACCCTTTGTGTATTTAGTGCAGAAATGACCGATTTTTTCTGAATTCACTATTTCCATGTCCAGTTTTTCCCTTTGTATAGGCCATTCTTCCTGATTTATCTTCAGCCAGTTGGGGCCCTCCCACCATCTAAGTGCTAAAAGTTGTTTGGCGGTGCAACCTCCTTGATGGGAAGTCAGGCTGGATTTTTTGTTCCAGCAGTATGTTTCCTCACATTTTTGGATTCATCTGTTTCCTAATCTCCCTGACTCTGTTTTCCACAAAGACAGCCCAGACAATCTCCTTCCCTTTGAATCCACATCAAAACTGTTGTAGAATCCGTTCAAAAATGCGTTTCCACATTTTGCCATTGTAAACTATTTAAAACAGGAAGAGCACAGTCTGGCACCTATCGTGTGCAGTACCTAGCAATTCCAGACAAGGAATTGTGATAGATCTTCACGAGGAGCTGCTCTAGACTTCGATGCCAACAGATGAACTTCAACTCCAGAATTCGTCACAGTTCTCAAGAAAACTGCAGCAGCATACGCTTTACTACTGGCATCACAGAATGTGTGAAT